ACAGACAGTGAACCTGTTTATTATTATTATTTATAATAATAATAATAATAATAATAATAATTGTCCCGTTTCTTAAATTGTCACTAATGGACTGGGCTCTGTCTCCAGCTGTGAGATGACTGAGCACTGGGGAAGAAAAACAGATCTTTGACACGCTAAACAGTGTCTGTGTCATATTGCTCCAAGGAAGGAAAGAACGAGAGAGGCTGGGAGAGGTAGAGAGAAAGGGGAAGAGGAACAGAGGGTGACAGAGGGAAGAGAAGAGGAGTGTGTCTTCATAAACACACGCACAGCTCATCCATTCCTGCTGGTCATTAGCAGTGTCTCTGCAATTGCAGCCGCAATTACCTCTTTCTTAATTAGTTACTAATTCACTAGGAGGAGGGTCAATTGGTTTCCGTGCAGAGATCAAAGGAGGTTTATGTCTGACGAGAAAGTGTAATTGGAGATTAATTGTAAAAGCAGAAGTGGGGAACTTGCATCCTGATAGGCTGATTCTGGCTCATACAGGATACCGAGCTGCAACACTGACAAGAAAGTGGCCTTCAGGGCACAGTGCTCCCTGCCTCAGAGGTCAGATACACCACCGGCCGCAGGTCTCTTCCTCGGGGCAGACAGGGCTCTTGTCCCTCTCCTGTCACTCTGTGGGGGGCGCCAGTGTCCCCTCCCAGCCCCTGTCAGTAAGAGCAGAGGTGTCGAACCCCGACCCCAGGGCTGTACGTAAGACTAGAGGTGTCGACCCTGGGGACCTGATCCAAGCGATTCAAATCCAGGAAAGGCAAGACAACGTGAGCCCAGTGGAGCAGAGGAAGGGGAGAGGCTGTGAGGACAGACATGGCTGGGTCATACTGTTGGGTTAACCAGCTGGATGGCCTCCTGTCTTCAGGGCTGTTCTTCTTTCGAAGGTGCGTGAGTGGTATCACTCCGTGTGACACACTGACCCCCTCAGTGGTGACTAGAGTGTCCCACAGAGCAGGACAGCACACAGTCATGAATGGGCACTGCAGAGAAATTTCCACACAATTTCGTGTAAAATGGTCGATGTTTAGACCTTCTGCTGAGAGGCTGTTGTGTGTGATTGCCTTTGAATTACCACCCTGTACCTCTGTCTCGGTGCTCCTGCCCGAAACCAGCCCCTCCCGCCCCCCAGCGACGATGCAGCTAATTGAGCCTGATGAGTGTGAGCAGCCCATCGCCGTGGGTGTGATTACTCGCTCAGCGCCAGCCCGCCCGCTCTGACCCCGGCGCCCGGCCCTGAGCCGCCTCCTGATCGGCTCATTAGCCTGGCCAGGCCGGGGGTATAAGAAGGAGGCTGTGCCCAGCGGGGGCACACACACATCCAGAGAGCCAGCCCAGCGTGTGCCACTCCGGTCCCAGCTCAGCGTGTGCCAGTCCAGTCCCAGCCCAGCGTGTGCCAGTCCAGCGTGTGCCAGTCCAGCGTGTCCCAGTCCAGTGTGTCCCAGTCCAGTGTGTCCCAGTCCAGCGTGTCCCAGTCCAGCAGTCTCGCCGTCATGCCTGCTGGTACGGCCATCTGCCTGCTGGGGCTGCTCTCCCTGTCCTCCGCCTGCTTCATCTCCAACTGCCCTCTAGGTGGCAAAAGGGCTGTGCCTGACCTTGGCCATGGGCACAGACAGGTAGGACGCCTGGGCCTCTCTCAGGGCTCCATTTCTCTCTCTCATTTGCGTCA